ATCTGAGCTACTCGTTATTGTGTGGTTGACGGACCGTTTATCAGTTTGGACCAATGCAGCGCGAGCCGATCTTAATCAAGCAGCACTGTTAGGACACAGCCAAATCCAGTAAAGAAAACATTTGAATTCGCCACTGAAGGAATAACATCGCTGCGAGATCTAGTGAGAAACATTCACATATCTCCATTATTAACGGATCAAACCGCACTGACGTGGAAACCAGGAAGAAACATTGTGCCATGAATGAACTATCCAGTGTCCACAGATCAGCAACATTTCACCATGGATTTACTGTAGTAACACTACTAACTGTTACCATGGAAGTTTGGCAGGTAGGCTATAATGCTTACAAGTAACATCACGTCGGTTTTATTTTGACGTTATGAATACAATTGCTGCCCTCAAATGTTAATCTGAACTAAAATAAACCTTTGTTTATAACTACCACACTATCACATTTCATTTTGTCCAAGGAGATGTTTTGTTTATGCTCCTAGGAAAAGTCAAGTATAGCTCCATCATTGCTCAAAGTTAAAAAATATCATGCTTTATGATGTTAGTTTTAATGAAAGTATAATTAAAAAAATTTAATCAAGGAAATTTCTCTGCCATTTCTTTCTTTAAGCTGTATTGGAAATGTACCGAACCGTATCGAACCGAACCGAACCGTGAATTTTGTGAACCATTACACCCCTAGGAAATACATATCCTACAATATTTATATTATTAAATAAAGGACATTTGATTGGACAAAAATCTGTATCGTACAGGCGGAGTCATCCACTGACTCCATGAACTAAACAAGTTATTTTTTAGTTCCTGGTGTAATGGTGCAAACATATTTAAAAGTGTACAGTAAAACTGTCTTCCATTGCTATCATTCACTTCACAGTATGCTATTATAGCTATTGAAGTGCTTGGGGGTTTTCACCTTCAGCCTGACATCAGGATGTCCCTTTTCATCGGCTAAAGATTAACTAGTCACATGGCATTTACAGCTTAGTCGATTGCCTTAAAAAAAAAAAACCTATCTGGAACTGAGTGCATATGAGCGAAATGGCATGATCCAATTCACATTCTTCCGAGGGGTCCTGCACCAACCGAGCAACTGCCATTGAGATAAATGAGACTGCTAACAAATAGCACTCTCCAGGTATTATGAACCTGCTTGGCTTGCACATATTTATCAATGTCTGCTTTTCAGCAAATAAAGCAGAACCGATTGATATTCGTAAACTAGCTGATTTTGTAATCTGCCCCCCACTGTTTTCATCCCTACGCCTGTGCACGCCAGTGTTGCGATTAGAGAAAACCAACACATAAAAATGCAAAACTATTAGAGTAGTGCTCATAATGTACCTAAATTAATTGGAAACATTATAATCCACAGCATTAGGAGGCAAAGGGGGCCGTATCGCACACATCTTATCTGCTGTTAGTGAATGGAGGAAACACAAGGCCACATTAAGGATAACGCTGGATGCCAACAGCACACGCCAGCTCATTGTCATTCACAATCCAACTGTGCCATATCACTAGAGCCATAGCAACAGACTTACCGACCGAAGGCTCGTCTCTGCAGAAATAAAGCCAATGAATCCTGTTAAAGTGTGTCGATGCTGTTGCTTTCACAGACATTGTATGGAATCATTATTAATACTTTAGACAATATATCATGCCTTTTCCTATTTTAGAAGAGGGACAGTGATCTGAATAAATTACCACAAATATTGCAGTTGTGAATCTAATTGAAACTGGCTGCGGTTCATATCCATAAACAAATTACTGGCACCACCTACCTTGACCTTTAAATAACAGTAAAAATCAACGCACAGACATCTTCCAGGGATAGTACCAAAAAATGAAACTAGAACCCAAAAATTAAAATGATTTACTTTCACCATCTCATGTCATTCCAAACCTCTATGATTTTCTTTCTTCTGTGAAGCATTAAATTGGATATTTTGAAAAACATTCAAGCTGTTTGGATCCACTGAGACAATTTTTGTAATTATCTTAAAGAAATACATGAAGGTTTGAACAATCATTTTAAGGCTTTGTTCAGAATTGCATACTTCCATGCTAGTACGTCAGTAGTACAGTAATTGAAAAAACCTTATCTGGGATTTCTTTTAATCCAATGGACAGTAAATCCATATATGTACACTACTGTTCAAAAGATTAGGACGAGTATGTTTTATTGTTGGTTTTTTTTTTTTTTTTTTTAAGACATGTATACTTTTATTTAACAAGGATATTAAAGCTGTATATCAAACATTATTCAACTGTCTCGTGACTTATGCATTATTAAACATTTTCATATTGCTTAAAAAAATAAGAGCTGATAAGTCCCTTTCATCAGACAAACTGGAAATCTGTGAGTGAGGTGGTTTTTACATTACTGCAAATAAACAATTTAACAGCAGAATATTTAATTATTGACTTATTTCATTTAAATTGAATAATTGAGATGTTTCTGATAAATGGTAAATAACCATATTTATTTCTGAGACTCACTGACTTAAACATGCAACATAATGCGGTCGCGGTCGCATACAGTACTGCTGTTTAAAACAGCAAAAACATCCACTCAAATGCTGAAGGAATTTAGACAAACAAATTACTTTGGTGCGCAAGTTACTTAAAGGTACAATATGCAGGATTTTTGAAGTAAAACATCCAAAAACCACTAGGCCAATGTTATATATTTTGTTTAGTTGATTACTTACAACATCCCAAATGTTTCCAACTATTTGTAGATCGTGAGAAAATTGCGATTTTTAACCAAGGAAACGGGGCGTGTGAGCAGGGGTGAGGAGTCGCCAGTCAATGACGTCATATCCGCGTTACCCCCGGTTTCCGCCAGGTTTGACCTCGTACTGCAATAGTAACCATGGCGCGACAGACGTGGACAACTGGGTCGGTTATGGCCGTTATGCGAGCTCAACAGCGTGAGCGTCCCTATTATGGTTTTGTAAGCAGGACTAAAACGAAGATCCAACATCTTTCCAGATGCCGAGAGCTCCACTCTCTCCACACTCCACGCGACTGACTTGACAATGTTATGTAAATCAAGAAAATATTCAATTGAAATAAAGTCGTTATTTATGTTTGTTTTTGCACACAAAAAGTGTTCTCGTCCCTTGATAAAGTTATGACTGATCGACTGTAGTCACTTGGACTATTTTAACGATTTTATGTCTTTAATAACTTTTCGAGGCTGGCAAGTTTCAATCCCTTAAGAAGCCTATGGACTAGTATGGAGGAGTGATCCAGCTCTCAGATTTCATCAAAAATATCTTAATTCGTGTCCCGAAGATGAACGAAGGTCTTCCGTGGTTGGAACAACATGAGGGTGAGGAGTTACTGACAGAATTTTCATTTTTGGGTGAACTATCCCTTTAAGGATGTGTTGCACTACTTATACACCTTCCATATTATTATTACAATGGCACATGAAAACATAAACACAACTTGTCAGCCAAAAAAAAAGTACTGCACGAAAGAATTCACTAACCACACTCAAAAACAGCTTTCCGGCTCTAACTTTAAATCGGCATGATGTAAAGAAGAAATGTTTTCGCGGCTCTGATAGGCATTACGTGCTGTGTGTGCTGACGAAATTTGACGTAAATGACGCAAATTGTTTTCAAGGAAATCTTTCGGTTTCATCCGTCCTGTTTCAATCGCCCAGGCTCTCCCCTATAGGTAATATTTACTTGAATACATTTAAAAGTAATGCAATTACTTTTTACATTTTGAATGGCAATTTTTTCTGCAGCAGTTTATTTCTGCTACAAAAGAAGTGATATCGCCATCTACAGGGCATTAAATGTATTACATCTAGTGCGTTTTGCCCAAACTTGTCAACAAGGCTACTATACTTAAATATGAGTACATTAGAAAGAAGTTGTTTATATGAGATGAAACCAGCATGTCCGGTAAACATAGGCTTTGACTATTTCATTTGACTAGACACTATTAGATTTATCTGTTATATTGAAGAGACCTTATTGAAGGATTTTGGTTTACTTATGCCATTTCTGAGAACTTGAGCTTAACTGACACTTGATTGTAGACGTTTAAGAGGCTGTGTCGACCTTGATTTATTGCCATTTTGAGGTGTTCAGCTTTATTTCGAATTAGAAAATAAACATGATTGCTCTCCTCACAAATCAACTGTTCCTTGTTTTTCACTGGCATGTCTCTTGGTTGTTGACGGCTAGTGTATCTTTGAGACTACATTCAGTGTGAGTAAAATACTTCAGTACTGGTAAAAATCCGATAATGTAAGACTTTTATTTTAGCCATATTGGAATTGAAGACTGTCAGGTATCTGTGCTTATGGTTAAAAAAAAAAAAGTATGGTTTTCAGGTACTCTTTGCACCCTTTTTTTTTTTTTCTTTGTTACACGAATATTTCTACAATTATGTATGTGAGCTCCCCTCCTTGTTGCATTCTACAGTTTGAATTATTTATCACTGCATAATACACTCTCTCTACTGTTATTTTTAAAAATAGAAGGTAGTTTGCAGTAAGCAGTGTGTTAGTATTTCAATCCAAACATAGCCTTTGTCTTTTAAGGAAAAAAATATGTTTTTTCCTCATTATTAATTCTGCTTGACTGCTAAGGGCAGACTGCAGTGTGTGTTTCTTTGTTAGTGACCTACTTCTAATGCCGCATGTGAGGTGATTAAACATTCTGCCCAAATAGCTAAACCTCATTAGCAACACTACCTGAACGCACTCTGTATGTCAGTAGAGCTTTCAGCATGTACAAAGGTCTCTCTGGATCATTTAATGATCAGGAAGGATGTTAATGCAGCTCTCTGAGCAGAGGAATAATGGTTGGTGCATAACGCTTCTGTTGATGCAGACATGTGTTGTTGACTCTGTAAAGTCGCACAGAGGCACGTGGCGCAAGTCACTATTTTGCACTGAACGGACCCATTTCCTGTTTGCGTGCTACAGATAATGTGCACATGTAAAACGTACTCACCTTTTCTTAAGAGCTTCTAGGGAGTCAAACTCCAGCTTGTCTAGTTTGACTTGGATGTGTTTAGGAACATCTTGGAATGACGAATGCCAGGATGAACTTGAAGGCCAGGAGAACATGCTGCAATAAACCGAAAAAGACAAGTTTAAAGCACAGCTTTCGTTTCATATCTACGTTATTATAAGCAAGAGCTAAATGCACCTCGAATATTCTT